AATGCGTTAAGTGCGAAAAAAGCGAGTAATTTTTCTTTCAATGGCAATGAGTGTTTTTAATTCAATATTTTAAACCATATTTGTATGAACATGTGCATACATATTTGCATAAATACAACTATGGAATATAAAATAATAATAAAACAACAAAGAAACGCGAAAATTAAAAATAAAAAGTCAACAACAATGCGGTTGACGGCAACTTTCTACTTCAGCGCGCACATTGCAATCCGGTAGCAGCACAACAACAATAACGTGAGTTACTTATTGTACTAAGTATGTAAGTATGTAGGTATGTTCATACTATGTATATGCAACCACAGCAGCAACAGCAGCAGGTATCTCGATCGTCAGCAGCAATACCCGGCGATCTTCGTAGTCATGAGAGAAGATAGTAATGGGCTTAGCTATAGGCTGCAACAGCGATATTTTTCACCGGCAGGGGAAAATCGTTGCCGTGCAATTTCTTCAATCAACTACGTACATATGTATGTACGTATGTACCATCAGTTGCCGGCAACAACACACAAACGAGCACTAACGTTATTTATTACAAGCGCACCACACTAATGCCTATTGAGAAAATCATTCACGAGAAAATCTTTAGTTACTGCATCTCTATATAGGGATTGGTATATACTATATTTGTATATATATACCTACACTTGTGGTCAGCTGATTAAGTCAAGTGACATTTTGACTTGGTTTTGCTATTGTCCTTTTGTTTTTTTTTAATGTTTACATTTTTTTATTAAAGTTTAGCACTTTACCTAACCACCGCCACATAAATTCACATTTCAAACTTCTTGCAAAAATTATGAAAATTCAATAAACTCCAACATTTGCACCAAAAAATTTTAAACTTTTTATTTAGATTTTTTAGATGGTGCTAGGCACCCATACGAATGAAATTGTCGAGCATATTTTATATAGAAGAAAACGCACAACACCGTCAGCCAAAAAAATTATTAGAAATCAACGCGATTTTCTAGCGTCTTGAAATTTGCACTTTAACCTACTAAAATTTACCGACTACAAAACTGCTTACCCAAAATTTTTCTAAAAATTCTGAATAAAAAGTTTGAAATTTTCGGTTGCAATTTGTTAAAGTTTGTTGAATTTTCATAATTTTTGTACGAACAAACAAAAGAAAAATAGCCAAAACTAATCAAAATGTCACTTGACTTAATCAGCTGGCCACAAGGGTTTGTATGCATGTACATATATATGTATGTCGTTAAGTATCGTTGCACTTACTAACGCTAAATACATATGTATTGTTGCTGTCAGATGTGTTGCTGACGTTAACGTCTTTTTACAGGTATTGTTTTGTTTTTCTATTCTGACATTACAGGTTTACACTTTTACGCGAATCGTTACAATGTTCAACTCAAATTTCACATTTTTTAAATTTTGTTTCAATACCTTTGCTGCAATTTACAACAGCTCAATTGTTTGTTCACATTGACGACAAGTGCACGCAAATCAAGAACAGTGGAAGCAAAAAAAAACTAATATATATATATATATATGTGTAACAGCGTAAATTAATAGTAAACAATATTGTTAATTGTACTTGTTGCCAATTAGCCGAGCAGAACACCCCACACACGTTAGCGGCTACGGCTGCGCGATGAAAGGTACGTACATATGTATGTACATAGGTAGGTAGGTAATACGATAGCGAAAATTTTACGCGCCGCTCCTTGCTTGCAAACGGATCAGAACAAAAGCAAAGCGTCAAGAGTAAGTACGTAAGCAATTTAAAAAACGCCAAGTCAAACTGCAACGGTCACTGCAACTAACAACGATGAATTTACACTCTCGCCAATTCACACTAAACCGACTCCGCACAAAGCTCGAAACGAACTGAAAGTGCACCATTCAAGAAACAACCAAACCAAGAAAATCATCTGGCTACCAATAAAATAAGCCAGCAGCAACGTAAACGTAGCTAGCAGCAGCAGCAGCGCAGCTGACTTCACCTCTTACTTTTTAACATTTACCATTTAAAAATTCCAGTTTTGGTGTAATGCGCGCTGAGCAGGCGCTAGACGGCTGTGACGATCGCGCTGTCGAACCGCGCTGTCAGTTGCTTGTCCGCATTTTTTATGGCGCGTTCAATTGGTCTAAGCTGGTGGAGCAACTAAGATTGTTGTCTTCAGCGCAGCATTTCCAACTTATCGAGGAGTAACAGCAATTGCTTCATTGACAGCAGCAATGGTTATTGCGAATACACTTGTTGTTGTTCGTTTTCTTTGCAATTTGTATTTTGTTGGCGTGTGAGTTCGAGTGCAACTTGTTTGGGAGAAGAATCGATCAAACGAATATTTTTCAAAAGCAGTGACGTGAAATGGGCGAAAAATTTGATTGGTTCAGTTCAGCGGTTGCACCCTAGGATTGGTTAGTCAAAAGGGTTTTTTTTTGTCTTTGAACCAGGGGCTCGTTTCGGGAGGCTGGCTTAATAATGTGCTACAAACCGAAGCGCACCGTCAACGAACTGATTGGGCCCTATCAGTGTGGCTTTAGACCTGGCAAGTCCACCATAATAATAGAATAAGAGATTGGCGCTTACACATATGTTAGTGTTTGGCCGAGCTTCTCCTCCGTTTTGTGGCGTGCGCTTTAATGTTGTCACACAAAGGAAGGGACCTACAGTTTTACGCCGACTCCGAACGGCGATTGTATTTTTATGAGAAGCTGTTTTTCATGGCAGAAATACACTCGGAGGTCAAGGGACGACCGCTGTTAAGATGCGATGTTGCCTTGGCCAGGTCTTGAACCCAGACGTTACGGAGTGAAAGCGCGCACTGCTTACCACTACACCACAGCCGTCGACAAATCCACCATAGACCACACCAAATCTTGGAAAAATCCTGCGAGAATAGAATCGACACATACCATATATTTGTCGATTTCAAAGCCGCTTTCGACAGCACAAAACGAAGTTGTCTTTATGCCGCGATGTCTGAATTCAGTATCCCCGCGAAACTAATACGGCTGTGTACAATGACGTTGAGAAATACCACCAGCTCCGTCAGAAATGGGAAGGACCTCTTCGATCCGTTTGATACCAAACGAGATTTCAGACAAGGTGACTCCCTTTCGCGTGATTTCTTTAATCTGATGTTGAAGATAATAAGAGCCGCAGAACTGAACTGCTCAAGTACGAGACTTTACCATTGCGGGCGTATGCCGACGATAGCGACATGCCTTCTCGGGATTAGCTAGAAAAGCAAAGCGAATGGGTCTGGTGGTGTAAGTAAAGTCATCCCACGTAGTACAAAAATCAAACTCTATAAGTCACTCATCATGCCTGTGCTGGTGTATGGCTCGGAGGCATGGACAATGTAGACATCTGATGAGGCCGATCTTAGAGTTTTCGAGAGAAAGATTTTGCGAAATATTTCCGGGCCTTTACGCGTTGGCGATGGCGAATACCGTATACGATTCAACGATGAGCTGTATGAGCTTTACAACAATATAGACATAGTGCAGCGTGTTCAAATTCAACGGCACCGCTGGCTAGATCATGTCGTTCAAGGCGAATTTATACAAGGTGGTAGCGGCAGCCCAAAAACAAAAATTGCACTAACAAATTATTCGCTCGTTGACAATCAGCACAAAAAAGAAATTTGCAACAAACACATCATTTTGACAATCAGTACAAATTCGCCTTGAAATCAGAAGCTCTGGTAAGACCACTTATATGAATTCACCTATTGATGTCGTTCAAATGGACAGAAACATTCCAACACTGAAAGTATTCAACGCGGATTGCGATGCTGGTAACAGAGGAAGAGGAAGGCCTCCTCTGCGTTGGAAAGACCAGGTGGAGAGGAACTTGGCTTCACTTGACATTTCCAATTGGCACAGACGAGAAACGACTGGTGTGCTGTTTTAGACTCGGCCAAAATCGCTTAGGCGGTTACAGCGCCAATAAAGAAAATATTTAATAACAGGTGAAGTTACAAAATCGATTTCAAATAATTTCTATATGTAAGTTGGTTTTATTTTCTCCACCTCCCTAAATTGATTATAAATCGTTCCAGCTTATTAATCAATTTATAATTTTTTTTCCTACTTTTACATTTTCCACGACTGATTTACTGCTTCAAATTAGTTATGACATAATATATCGACGACGAATTGCCTCCACATGTATGTGCATATGTATGTATGTAACTTTATTTGAAGGTTATGTAAAATACATTTATGACTTTGCACTCCTATTAGATTTCACTTAAATGAAGCAGAAATAAAAAATAAAATTACGACGGAGGCAATGGTTAATGTCAATTTTAATACTGTTAAATCAAATTAACTTACTGAGGAACTCAATCTTCTCAACGCGACGGCCAAAACAAAATTTAATGAATTACCGGAGGCAAGTCTAACGATTACACTGTACAGCACTCGGCTGGATTTTGGACCAAACCAACTTTTTTTTTTTTTAAGAGACTGAGTCATAAGTAAAACAAGTAATTTCTCCGTTTTTTCGAAGTTAGCCTCCGATTAAGGTCTATATATCTAGTAATAACAATTGGCCAGAAGAAAATTTTTATGAGAATCTTTCTGTAAGTAGAAGGACCTTAAAATTTAATTTTTAAAGCTAGCTTTTTTAGCAAAAACACTCCCCCCGCTTTTGTTAAAAATGCTGGGTTTTCAAATTAGATGCTAAGTTAAGAAACAAGAATATAGAGGCTACCTTGGTTTTCCACTTAACGTCAAGTTGGTTTCATTTTTATTGGAAATAATGCTAAATGTATTTGTACACGAAAACAATGGCAGAAGATATTATTTATTACCAGAGCTGGTAAAAATATGCAAATGCTTGAAAAAGCCTATTTTGCATATTTTCGGCAATTTTGTTGGTTTTTACCTAAGTACATATGTATGTATATTCGACTTGCGTGCATATGTTTGCATATTTAGCAACATTTGATATATTTTCTGCGGTAAAGAGACGATAGATTCGTGTAAATGTGTATGCATGTAGGTTTTTAGGTACATATATTTATTACATGTATTATTTAAAGTGACAAAGAAAAGTAAGTACATATGTTTTTTTTTTGTTTGTTCCTCCAATAAATATTTTAATTTTTTTTACACATAAATATTTATTAAAATATTTCTCCCATTGGTTTCAAAGTGATTTCGTGTATCTAAAAAATTAATAACCGCATATTATATATTTATTTCGTTGAAATAAAATCATAAAATTTCAGCTACCCACCTGTACGTGAGGCGGCGTACGTAGTGCAAACAAAACCGCATCGGCTATATTTTCTGGCTCCAGGCGCGCCATATGTTTGACATAGAAATGAATTTCCTCAGGAAATATGTTTGTGTTGACGGCACCTGGGCAGATACCCTTTGGTAGTAGACAAGGTTAAGCAGAAAACGAAATAGAGTATGTTTAAGATTTTGTTAATAAATATAAAGCAGTTTCTGATGAAATGTATGTAAATATAGGTTTAGCATATATGTAGCATATAGCTTGAATGACAGTTATGGGCATTTACAATAGGGGTATCCACACGATAGTTTTACCAAATAAGTAGCTGGATAGCTGTGAAAGCCCTTTTTTGGCTTATTGTGCCTGAATCTGCAAAAATTGTTATCAACAGTTGTTTCGTTACGTGTTTGATGGAAAAATTAACAAAGAATGCCAAAAACTTTTTTCTTAATTTTTCATTAAATAAACATAGCTGAAATACTTCGTATGCATTCGCGTGAGTGCGGTTTACCGACTACCAAGAAATTATCGACTTGTGCACCACCATAGTTTGATGGTCGGAATCCGGTAAAAAGATTCATCAGCACATTTTCAATACATTTTGAAGTGGGATAGGGCGTTCTTCAGCCAAATTCTTAGATAGGATGTTTTTCAACAAAAATCTGAAATAGGGCGTTCTTGAAAAGTTTTTTGAGATAGGGCGTTTACGAACTGGCTGCCGAGATAGGTGGATCTTCCAATCAGCAATCGATATGTGAAGATCCTCAAAGTGTGGAGAGGGAACAACAACAGATAGAAAAAAAATTTTAATCAAAACGTTCAGCTTTTCAATTCCATTTCTTAAAATAATTTTATTTAAACAATTTATTTTTTATATGGAAGAAAAGAGACTTGAAACTTGCACCTTATTATACCAAAATTTAATGGGCTACAAAACTGAAAATTTTGAATAACATTTTTTTCGATTTCTTGAATTTTTGTCGTCCTATATGAAATTTAAAAAATTTATTCTGCTGGTGTTTGCTGTTGCATGAACAATATTAAAAAAAAACAAGTAATTTTTAGCAAAAAAAAACAGACTTCAATTCTCATATAAAAATATATATACATATATACATATATTTCATGATCCAATGATCGGATCTAAACCAGATTAGTATGCAAAAAGAATTATCGAAATCGTTTGACGTGGTCCAAAGTTGTGCGGTAACATACACAAAAATAAAAAATAAAAAATAAAAAAAAATATTGCGACGAACTGATAACCTCCTCCTCTTTTGGTCGGTTAAAAATAAGAAAAATGTGGTATGGAAAATATAAATAAAGAAACGTCAGCGTATTTATATTTTTAACGCTGACTGTAAGTACTTTCTACGGATTATGTCACAAAACTACATTGCTTATAATATCAGAAATTAATGCAAAATAAAGCAACGCCAGAACCAAAGCAACTGTGCTTATAAGCAATATATTGGCACAATGTTCACTAGTACCTTCGTTTTGGATTTGGATGATAAGTGTCCTGGTCGATGGGTTCAGGCTAAAATGGGTAAAATGTTTGGTATGCATGGTATTCTGGGTTTTGATATAACATCGAACATCCAAAGGGTAATCAAGCCAACCTAATAACTCAAAATTGGTAAATTTCCACATTCATGCTTCTGACATAAAGAGGACGATGTAAAATTTACATATGTCATACGCAAAAAATGTCGCAAAAAAAATTGTCAGTTGGTATACAAACACGGTATTGCCATATTTAACGAAAGTAAAGTGGAAAGTATATATGTATGTATATTAGAATGGGTCAAAACCAACATTAAACCTTTATAATAAGTGGTTCGGTTTTCGTTTCAGATGAAACATTCGTGCAAAATTTCGGTTCGGTCAATGGTTAAGTTCACCGGTTCACGACCCAAATTAAAATACTAAGGAGATATAACAAACTAGCTTGCTTAAATTTGCTAAGAAATTAGGATGTCAACTTTTTACGTTACGTTAGTTACGAGTATTATGCATATTTATAAATAAATAGGACTTCGCCAAGAGTGATAACTAATTTTCTTAATAAATAATGAATAAATGAAATACATTAATTACTTGGCCACAAAAAAACATATGATAAAAAATATTTAACTTTAAGGTGCTGCTGGCAGATTTAGCAATGAGATAATGCATATTGAAAATAGTTTAAGTCAAAAAAGTTAAGAACAATACTGTTCATTACGGCTGGGAGTTCTATCTGGTTTTTTTAATATTCGGATATTCGAATATCTGATTGAAAATCTGAGTATCCGAATATTCGGATATTAACCGCATGTCCTGATAACAAAATCAACGGATATTAGCCAGATATTCGATACCCGGATAGCCAAATTAAAGGATATGAACTAGATATGAACGAATATTCCCAGCCCTGCTGAAAATTCATATTTAGATACAATTGTACATAAATAAAAAGCTTACGGTGCTGCTATGAGTGTGATTATGTACGGTACCACAAACTCACCGTTACTCGGACTTTGCTTTTGTGCAACTGAAATTCTTGTCGATAAGTTTCCGTCATGGCTGTTATGGCAAACTTAGTCGCCGGATATATATTGAAACTCGGTAGCACATCGATAAAATTCAACACTTGTTGTCCCGCAATGCTATTGATGATCAAAATATGGCCCTCATTGCCACGCTTCAACATGCCTCGGAACACTTCACGAGTACACCACAATACCGCCATTACATTGGTATCAATTACCTGGCGTATCTTCTCCGTGTTATTGTCAGCCACCAGTTCCGTCTCACGCGTAATACCAGCATTGTTGAGCAAAACATCTGCACCACCCAACATGCGTTCAGTCCAATCAAATGCCGCAATAACTTGATCCTCTTTGGAGACATCGCAGCGGCCTGGAATAAATTGGGGCTGCAGTGCTGGTGGCAAACTTTGCTTCAGCTCCTGCAGCTTAGCTTCACGACGTGCGAGGCCGACCACACGAAGACCTGCTATAACCAATGCACGGGCACAAGCGGCACCAATGCCACCGCTAGCGCCAGTGACCACCGCCAATTTACCTTGCCAACGTTCCATTAGATTTTGAGAGTGCTTTAAAAGACAGCTGCCTGGCAACTGAATAGCAAGTGCAATGCATTGTCGTTCATTTTGCTACGAGTGAATATTTTAATATTTATATTTGTATGTATTTGCGTATGTACATATCTTTATATACATTAAGGCGTATCACGAAAAAAAATAATTAGCGTGTGTTAGTTTTATTCGAATACTTATGTCGAGAAAAAATTTTGGCTGTAAAATTTTTGTTTAGGCTTCCGCTAAATCGCGTTTTTTGCTATAACACGATAAACTTTTTTACTTTCATATGTCGTGATACGGCTTAATGTACATGCATATATACAAAGATGACAGTTGATCCAATTTTTCGCAATATCGATTACCACTTGCGCTTATTGGGCTTCCGCCGCTTGCTATCATTACATATCTCTATGCCAAATCATTAGCATTTGCAGTCGCATTCAGCATGGAGCGTTGGCAAGGCAAAATTGCTATGGTAACTGGTGCCAGCAGCGGCATTGGTGCCGCTTGTGCCAAGGCATTGGTCTGCGCTGGTTGTGTTGTTGTGGGGCTAGCTCGTCGCCAGGAACGGATCGCGCAACTCCAACAAGAATTGCCAACTCGAGTGCGCTCCAATTTGCACTCCTACAAATGTGACATCACACGTGAGGAAAGTGTGCGGGATGCTTTTAAGTGGACCGAACAGAGGCTTGGCGCCGGTGTTGATATACTGGTGAATAATGCCGGTATTATAGCGACTACAGAGCTAAGTGGGGCACAAAATACGAACGAGATACGCGCCACCATCGATACGAATCTGTTGGGCACCATTTTTTGTACACGCGAGGCTTTCAATTCGATGCGTGAACGCAATATTGATGGTCATGTAGTTATTATTAATAGTGTAGCTGGATTACAGGTACCTAATTTGGGACCAGATTTGCCATCATTGAATGTATATCCGGCAACGAAGTTCGCTTTACGAGCGATGAACGAAATTTATCGACAAGAATTTCAGCGACACAAAACACGCGTACGAATAACGGTGAGTTGAAGGCAAATATGTATGTATATTAGGAATTAAGCACAAAACTTTTTTTAATTAAATATACTTACCTATGAGGACAGGGTGATGAAAGACCAACCAATAACGTTTTTGTCAGAAGTTGGTACAAAAACTCCGAAAAAAAATACAATTTGTCCTTGGGTGGCGAAAGCATATGTACATACATACTTAGACATACAGAAACTTCCATATCAACTAATGTAGTAAAAAGGGGAACATTTTGAGATCATTTTTACTCCCTTTTGAATACTATTTTTAAAAAAGTGTGTATTCAAAGAATTATTTTACTGAAACAAGTCAGAAAATAATAAACATTCTTAGTTATTTTTTTCTTTCTTGTTAAAAGATCGATTACACTGTGCTGCACTAAAAAAAACCCGGGAAGTTATGTATATTTTCTGGTAGGTCTTTTTGAGTGAAACAAGAATCGAAATATGAAATTCGCCAAACACCCCGAAAATTTTGATTTACCGTTAAAAACCCGGTTTTCGCACCTTTGTGCACTTATAAGCCTGCAACTTAGTTGATTATGAAGCGAATTTCAGTTTATTGCCGGTTAAAAAGAAGAAACTTAGGCCTTTAGAATGATATATATGTGAATGAAGAAACCTTATGACACCTGTGTGTATTTACCCAGCAAAAATTTATTTTTTACTTTTTTTTTGCATTTTTTCAATTTCGGTGTGGTTTTTACGCACTATTTTATAAGAAAACCATGATGGTCCTAAATTGATTGTAAAACTAAATTTAATAATGAGTAAAATGAACGTTTATTTTCAAAAATCGGATAAAAGTTTACTGAGTTATTCAACTTTTTATGAAAACAAAATTTTTGAACAAATTTTATTTTTGGCTCTACAACTCAAAAATGTTTGCATGACAATTTTTTTTTTAATTTCACGTTTTCTATGATTGCAAAGTATGGCCATCCCGCGAGCCGCATCAAATAGGTGGGAAAAACGTTTTAAACGCCCTATTGGTTATAGCTGAAAATGTTGTCCTACCACCACTGCATTTAAAGCTAGGATATATGAAACTATAGGGGTATTCTAGCAGTCTTGCAAAGCCCTTGCACGTGTTCAAATCCATACTTTGCGATCATAGAAAACGTCAAATTAAAAAAAAGGTCAAGCAAACATTTTTGAGTCGTATCGATAAAAATAGAATTTTTTCACAAATTTTGTTTTCATAAAAAGTTGAATATCTCAATAAAATTTCATCCGATTTTTGAAAATAAACTCGTTTTATTAATTTTTTATTCTCTCATCTGCTACTTTTTCATCAGTTTTATCTCTTGTCATGAATTTTTGGTATTTTCATAGGACCTCAAATTCGTAAAATTATGAGCGACGTGGGCTTTTTGAACAAGCTAAGCTCTGTAGAAAAACGTGCATGGAAGAGTTTTGTAGCGCTGTGCAATAATTTCCTTGGAAACCACAGAAGCGACGACTATATAACGGTTGTTAAAGTCGAGGTCAACAGGCACAGCTTCCAAAACCTACTAACCAAGAAAACACACTTTTACTAAAGATTTTCAAAACAACTTGGCCAATTGAATAAACTCACCTGGAATTTGCAGCCAAAAATCGCTCTGGTACTAACACTTTAAAAGTTTTATTTAAGGTGTATTTTAATACATCCTACCAAAATCTGTGAAAAACGCAGTTTCGAAAAAAACTGTTGGTTGCATGTTTTTTCTTTTTTTTTTTCTCGGAACTACCTGCAGAAACTTTTTAGCTCATCCTTTCCGCATAAATAGGTATATTTAATTAAAAAAAAAAGTTAAAAATGATATGTTTGTCTAATATACACATACTTGTGTATATATTAACAAAAAAAAAAATTATTCTTCTCCGTAGTCACTCCGCCGACCAGTACATGTTCAAAAATTTATATGGCATACATATATAGCAACGCATGTAAAAGAAACGTAAAAGCGTAAGAGAGTTTTATG